AAAATTTTAAAGAAGCTGTGGCATCTCCAGATGCAACTTATTGGAGAGAAGCTAGCAATAGTGAGATAGAGTCCATTTTGCAGAACAATACCTAGGTATTGGTTGATTTACATACCGAAAGTAAATCAATTGGACGTACATGGCTTTTCAAAAGAAAGTTAAAAGCTTATGGTACTATTGATAAATATAAAGCTCGTTTAGTAGCTAAAGGCTATCGTCAGAAAGAAGGACTAGATTTCTGTGACACCTATTCTCTAGTGACGACAGGATGTTGATTGCTCTAGAATCTTTACGAAATTTGGAAATACACCAAATGGATGTAAAAACTACATTTTTAAATGGAGATTTAGATGAAGAAATCTATATGGAACAACCTAAAGGGTTTGTTGTAAAAGAACTTGAAAATAAAGTTTGTAAACTTGTCAAGTCTCTTTATGGGTTGAAACAAACACCTAAACAATGGCATGAGAAGTTTGATCACACTATATTATGTAATGGATTTAAGATAAATGAGTGTGACAAATGTGTCTATGTTAAAACCATAGATCAAGATTGCGTCATTGTTTGTTTATATGTGGATGATATGTTGATAATGGGCACAACTAGAAGTGTTATTGATTCTACTAAAATGTTGTTGAATTCCAGCTTTGATTTGAAAGACCTTGGTCTTACTGTTGTTATCCTTGGAATCAAAATAACAAGAAATCCAAGTGGATATATACTTTCTCTAAGTCGATAGTTACTCCGTTTGATCCAAATTGTAAGTTGAAAAATAATAATGGTGAAGGTGTATCCTTCCCTAGAATACTCTAGAGTTGTGGGTAGTTTAATGTACATAATGAATTGTACAAGACCTGATATTGCCTATTCAGTTGGAAGATTGGTAAAATACACTAACAATCCTGGGTATGATCATTGGAATGCATCAGTCAGAGTTTTAAAGTACTTGAAGTACACTTTAGACTATGGATTCAATTATACGAATTATCCATCTGTACTAGAAGAATTTAGTGATGCTAGCTGAATTTCTGATAGCATGGAAACTAATTAAGTCAACCAGTGTGTTTGGGGATTAAGTACCCTGGACACGTGGAGGACCCCTATTGGTGCTCCAAGATGGCCCATGAGT